TGTGTGTAGTGTTTGATTGATTCGTTCTAGTTAAGCTTGTTTATGGTTTACATGAAAGATACAGAGTCAAATGTGTCTGCTTTTGTCATTTGCTGCTTGTTAGATTAGGGTAAGTTTAATCCCTTCTTAAAGGTAGCTTTTTTTTTGTATTTTAGATTAGGGTAAGTATATATTACAAGGTTTTCGTTTGCATCAATGTGTTGAAAAGATATTGAATGAGATGTGGTATTGTTTTTTTTATATGAATGTAGTGAAGGAGTCGAGGAATGCTCCTTCAGGAGGAGGTCGTGGTGGTGCTGGTGGACGTGGTGGATTTTCCCGCGGCAGGGGTAATAGTGGAAACCGGGAGTACCGGAACAATGATGCTCCTGGAAATGAGAATGGATTTTCTGGAGGATACAGACCTTCTGAAGATGCTGATGGAGCAAGGCGTGGTGGGTCTGTTGGTGGATACCGTGTTGGCGGTAGTCGTGGTGGACCTCGCCGTGGTGGATTTGCTAATGGGGAATCAGGTGATGTTGAACGCCCACGGAGGAATTATGAGCGCCATAGCGGGACTGGTCGTGGGTAAGCTTTCTTTTCGTTCTGTCCACTACTTTGGTTACTACTTTGTTTGACTACTTCTGTTTCTGATTCGTTTTTTTTTAACTTGATGTTTGCTAGTAATGGCCTAAAACGTGATGGTGGTGGTCGTGGAAACTGGGGGACTACTGAAGACGATATCCCTCCGTAAGCATCCTTGTCTTCACTCTCATTATCCATAAGACATGAACTTTAGACTGTTTATAAACTTAAGTTTGTCTTATAATAGAGTGACTGAGGAACCCACCACGGAGGTTGAGAAGAGCCCTGTTGCTGAGAAGCAAGGAGGTGAGGATGAAACTGCTGAGGCAAACAAAGAGCCCACTGCCGAAGAGAAAGCACAGAAAGAAGCTGAAGAAGCTGAAGCCAGGGTACAATCATTTACGGCTCTTGAAACATCTTATGATGTCTTGTTAAGTTTGATGGAGAATGTTTGCTAATTTTTGAACTGATGGTTTTGTCATATAGGAGATGACTCTAGAAGAGTATGAGAAGATTCTGGAGGAGAAGAAGAAGGCTCTGCAAGCCACAAAGGTCGAGGAAAGGAAAGTTGACACCAAAGTGTTTGAGTCCATGCAACAGCTCTCTAACAAGAAGAACACCGATGAAGAAATCTTCATCAAGCTGGTCAGAAATCATCTATTGTGCAGCTTCTCTATTCCCTTTACTGTGATGGAGCAATAGTCAATACTTGGTACTTGATTGTTTCAGGGATCTGAGAAGGACAAACGCAAAGATGCTGCTGAGAAGACCAAAAAGGTCTTAATTCTTTCTGTTCTCACTCCATCCAAATGCTGCAAAATTACTTCACTTTGTTTTTCTTTCTATTAAAGCACAAAACCGTCTTAAGTTTAGGGAAAAAGTTATTAACCCTGATTTCAAACATTCTTTACATGTTTTGTTTTGAGAAGTTAAAAAGATATGGAATTAAATTGAATCATGATATCTTTTGGGTTAAGCCAATTTTTGTCCTGAGTCAATGCTTGTTGGTTGATTTTGTAGTCCTTGAGCATCAATGAGTTCTTGAAGCCGGCTGATGGAGAGAGGTACAACGGGAGAGGTGGACACCGTGGAAGAGGAGGTTGTGGTAGTCGTGAAGGAGGTCGCAGTGAAGGAGGTCGTGGCGGTCGTGAACAGAAAGGTGAAGGAGGTCGCGGTGGTCGTGAACATAGAGGTGACGGAGGAAACCAAAGGAATGTAAAACCTGCTGCTCCAGCTCCGGCGATTGGAGACACAGCTCAGTTCCCGTCGCTGGGCAAGTGAAGAACCCCTCCTGGTCTTTCAGCCTCTCTATCGCTGCCTCTCGTTTCTCTTTGGTTGAATTTTGTTAGCTTTATTATTTTTTGTTACACTTTCTGAAGTTCCTTTTCTGCGAAACCATTACGTGGGCTTTTTAAGTTATGGAAAAAATTATTATGATACTTCTCTCTAATTTTGGTATTACACACTCGATCTTTCTCTTCGACATACATGCTATACTTTTCTAGTTTTCTAAAAGCATGAAGTCTAATATTTATACTTCAGTGATGAAATAGATTCGACGAAGGCTTTAGAGAGTGCCCTACTTTATATGCATAAAAGGCCTTTTACTATATATATAGATGAAGTTATGCGTTTCAAACTTCAAAAGTACATCAGAAAAGAATTGGATCAAAAGAAAACAAATGAAAAACAAGCAAAGGGTATCCAAAGAGTTGTTAATTTGGAGAAGTCTTACATGCAATGCAAACAAATGATTATAATGGTGTGACGATCGAAAGAGAATTGGTGACTAATCGAATCAAGAAGAGCAACAGCCTGATTGCTGGTTCACTGGCTGTCCACGAATCTGGACCGTTGGTGGCTTGGCACCTCCAGCTGGCTGGCTAGCCATTCTACAAAACAACAAAACCCGTTAAGTAAGTAAAGTGTCAAGGAGTTGACAAGTAAAGTTGAGTTCTAACCTTGTCTTAATTGCAGCAGTCATAGCCATGAAAGCTTCTTCCACATTGGTTGCATTTTTGGCACTGGTTTCCAAGAATGGGATCCCAAGTTCATCTGCAAAAGCCTGTGCCACAAGGAGAGGAGACAACAACAATGTTATTATCGTTTAGACTTTAGACTAGGTTTACGAGCATATAGAGGTCACTTGGTTTATTGTATTACCTTAGCTGTCTCAGTGGATACAACTTTCTGTGAAGTGAGATCGTTCTTGTTCCCAACCAGTAGCTTGTTCACATTTTCGCTAGCGTAACGGTCGATTTCATTCAGCCATTGTTTGACGTTGTTGAAGCTCTCTAGGTCCGTAACATCATAAGTGACCTGCAAAGATAGGCAATTGTGAGCAAGAGGTAAAGGATGTATTAATTAACAAGAAGATGATTGGTTGGTTAGAGTGAGAGTACATACAATGATTCCATGAGCTCCTCTGTAGTAGCTGCTAGTGATTGTCCTGAAACGTTCTTGGCCTGCTGTGTCCCACTGCATACACAAGCGATTACCATAACAAGAATAATTATGTGCTCTTTCCAAATTTTCACCGATTATATTGCCTATCTAGCTCAAGAACACTTACAATCTGGAGTTTGATGGTCTTTCCATCCTGTTCGACGGTGCGGATTTTCTGCATGATATCATTAGTAAAGGTTAATACATTTTATTCCGATTCCTGTATATAAATGGGTGATGCCGCATGAATATTCTTACAAAGTCAACACCAATGGTGCTTATGTAGCTATCCAGGTAAGAATCATCCTGTACACATAAAATTGGAGACATCAGGAAACACGAAGGAGCAAAGTAAAGTGAGAATTAAGCTAAACTTCAATTGAGTAATGACTTTTGTGTGTGTACAATGTTAGAAAGCAACTACCAAAGATGATAAATCCAGAGTTGTGGCAAATTACTTACAGCAAATCTTAGAAGCAAGCACGATTTTCCAACACCAGAATCACCGATAAGCAGAAGCTTGAACAGATAGTCACTGCAACAACAGAACGGTAAACACCAATCTCTCAGTGAAGCTCACGAAAATTTCGGTTTATGTCACGAAATAAAAATCTGAATCCTATAAGCTAATGAGATCATATGGAAAAATTGAGTCACTCTCACGAATTTCAACTACAATAACCAACAGAAATTGCAGATCTCGATCAATTTCCTCGGATCTGACCTATATAAGATCCATGGAACGAGAATCCAAATCTAGACAAAATTCTAAAAACAAAAGACCTAAAACGAGAATAATCGGGTAGATTCAATTCAAAAACCTAACAATCAACAAAGATCCAAAGCAAAATCGAACAAAAACCAAATCACCAAACACATCAAAAAAAATAAAAACGCGGATCGATCCGAAGCAATAGATAGATGAAACAACGACAACGAGAAGTTTCTTACTATTCAGGATTCATTATCTAGATCGATCTCCCTCGGCGAGAATCTGGCAATTAAAGGAATCTCCGGCAATAAATTCAGCGATCGTCGTCGGGCTAAAAAAAAACGAGAGAGACGTGAATGTTCTTTTGTAGGAGTAATTTGTTTTTTTCTTTCTTTTTGTTGGCTTAGGCTTATTAAGTGCTCGCTCTTTTTGTCAATGACGCGGTTAAGAAATAAAAAAGAAGAAGGGGACCCACTCTTTTTAAATGCGTTTTGGTTTTGATGTTTGAATACTGACGTGGCGTAGCCAACTCAGAGAGATGCGTGGAGGACAAAAGAATCAATCAATCTTTTTTCTTCTTCTTCTTTGTCGCTTTTTTTTTTCTTCTTCTTCTTGATTCTATACAATCGGATGATAACTAAATTTAGAACAATACAATTTCGTATCTAGTGAATTTAACTTTTAATGTTGGATGCTAATTAATGTTGTCAAGTTTTTAATAAAGAACCTTTAAGCGTATATATGTTCGTTTCACGAAGAAAGAAAGATGGAACATTTCGATTCTTTTTTGGTATTCTGATTAAACTAAACATATAATAGCTTTGCATCGCTTGCGGTGTAAGTCAATGTAACGTGAACATGTAGACGACTTGAATATGCAACATACAATTATATTTTCAACTCCCAACAGAAATTTATATGAAAATAATATAAACAAAAAATATTTTATTTTTCCTGCAACAATTTAGTGAGATGGAAAAAAGATGGTAGAGGTGGTGGTTCATATCGTATCACCACCTCTTGTACGTAATTGGAGGCACATAAACATTGTCGACGCCAAACGTTGTTTAGAGCCAAGAATTGTACTATTTAAAGACACATAAACATACATTTGTTAGCACATAAACTCTCTTTATTTAAACAAGAAGTATTAATGTTTAGAGCAGCATTGGTTCATGGTGCTAGAATCAGCAGCCTTTGGTAATGGTTTCATGTAAAATAACTTTCAATTGAATATGGGCCTAATTGTATAGGCCCATATAATTAGTAAATGGCCCATAAATTGAAATCACACGCGGCGGATAAGCGATAAGGCTCTTTACTCTGGTTTCGAGTGTAGGGGTAGTGCAAACATGGCGACGAGCTCTCATCTTCTTCCTCAGGTTCTTCTTCCTTCTCTCACTCACAGTTTCATATATATATGCTTCTTTGAATTCTGTATTTATCTACCCTTTTATGGAAGCAGGCATTGCATATGATACCGAGAATCCCTACTTTCTCGTCGAAGAATTTAGGGGTTTCTTCAATTCTACCACGAGCATCATCAAGCAAATCGAGACTATCAGTTTCTACGAATCATTCTAGCTCCAATTTTGGTTTCGCCATCGATTCCAAGAAGAGAAGAGAGTTTATCGTTAGAGCTGAAGAGAGTACTGAAGGTGAAACTGAGGCAGTTGTGGAGAATGCTGTTGAAGCTGAAGCGGAAGCTGCTGTGGCGGAGGAGGAAGCTAGACCTCCGAGGAAGACGAGAGTCAAGCTCGGAGATATCATGGGAGTAAGTAGATTTTCAAATGTGATTGTCTAGGGTTTTGTTTTGGCTCTGAATCTGTTTATACATTTCTAATACTGAAGAGTAATGTGTTTGTTTTGGCAATTGTTCTTTAGTCATCATTTATCTTTCAGGAATTGGAGAAATGAAAAATGTTGATTTTGCTTTTTGTTTTTGTAGCTACTGAACAAGAAAGCTATTGAGGTTGCAGAGAATGTAAGACCGGTTCCTGGACTTAGGACAGGGGATATTGTAGAAATCAAGCTGGTAAAAATCCTTGTCTCTGTTTAATCTTATGCAATTAACTGCAAGATTTTGAGTTGACATGGTGGGTTTGATTTTACAGGAAGTTCCTGAGAACAAACGTAGGCTATCTATCTACAAAGGTATTGTGATGTCTAGACAAAATGCAGGCATCCACACTACTATTCGTATCCGGAGGATTATTGCAGGCATTGGTGTTGAAATCGTCTTTCCTATGTAAGTTGCTTCTTCCTTACCTCAGCTAACTACCACACAGTTGCTCCAGCATATTATTAAGCATAAATGTAAATACTAAATAGTAGTATTAGATAGGAGTGGCTGGGGTCAGAGTTAAGGGTCTTTGACCTTGTTTTGGAGCCTTTTGGCTTTGAGAACCCAAAACAGTTTCTTTTATCGTGATAGTCCAATACTGTCATCGTGTTCTTCGTTTTTTGAGAAGTAAAGAGAGTTTCGATTCTATATCTGATCATATATGCATTTGCTTTCTTCACGAAAAATGGAAATAATTTGCTACTCCAAGTATGATGCTATAGGAACTATCACATAAATGCTGGAAGTCTTAGCATTATAGGTCACCAAGCTATGTGCTTATTTACTACAGAAACGCGCACCAACCTTTAACCTTGATCACTCTAGATTCTAGCCGTTATGAGAACATACTAGTCCTTATGAACTTCCCAGTAACATTGGCTGATTCTACAATGAAGTAATATGTATCTGATGTGTTTTGATCTTAAACAGATACATGTTGCTTTAGAATATGTATCTGATGTGATGAGTGTTTTGTTTTAAACAGATACTCTCCCAACATCAAGGAGATAAAAGTGGTAAGTCACAGGAAAGTGAGAAGAGCAAGACTTTACTATCTGAGGGACAAACTTCCTCGTCTCTCAACTTTTAAATGATCACCAAAACCCAACACCAGTCTTGTCTTGTGTTGTTGTCTTCAATCTCCAAAGGTAGTAGCTACTCTCTTTCTCTTGTAATAATTGTTTATTTGTTTTGTCTTTTGGATTTCATTTCTTTTCATGTAATTTACAGTAACAGTGCTCTAAGAAAAGTAAATCAATGTTGATTGTTTTGATCTTGAGTAAGAAGAATGTGGATCTTCTCTTTCAGAAATATGACTGATTTAAAATCATTTGGAGAAAAAACTTTTGAATCATCTAGATTGCTTTTCAAAATACTAGTTTTTACATGTAAAATCATGTAATTAGTGTATTAACTTTTTCAAACGGTAACTATTCAAACTCTTTTTGGATTCAGTTTTGTTCTTATTTGAATATAATAAAAGAATTTTCCAGCCAAAGCAGAAGAAAAAAAAGAAAAGAATATTCGTGTAAATCATTGAGTATTTTTCTTGTCTCTTTTCTAGCTCGATGACTTTTAACCATCACTGTTTCAAATCTTCTTCGTCATGATTCCTATTATCTCAAATTTAATAATCTATTGATGTCCGATATTTAATTACTCCCCAACAATTAATCATTAATGGACACGGAGAAATAAATTTTAAAATATCATCATCAATCGTGAAAATGGCCTACCACCCTGAAAGCTCATTATAGCCGTTTTAGCCATTATATATAACTAACCACCAATCAGCATATGACACGTCATCGTCCTCTTTTTTCCAGCCTGTCGCTTTTAAACTTTTTTTTTTCTTCTCTTTGTTAATGCAACAACTGTTATTTTCACACGTGTCACATTTTCCCTCTCTCGCTCTCTTTTTCTCTCTTTCGCTCTCTTCTTCCCCGCACTTCCCGGAGACGACGCCGGAGGAAAATCGTACGGAAACTTTCTTTCGACTTCACGAAGCTCTTTCTTTCTCTCTCTCTCTGGAAAATTTCCTTACCACCAACCGAACGAGAGGAGAGAGAGAAGGTGAATTTTGGGGTTATTGGTAGAGAGCGATTATCGGAAGAGCCAGAGAAAGAAATAAGCAGCTTCTTCCTCCTTCATCGTTGGACCGTGACTTTTGTTTTCTTCAGGTTTGATCCGTCTTTTTTGCTCTCTTGTTTTTCGTTTCCCTCTTTTTTACCTTTCTAGCTTTTCTTCGAGACCTTTTTCTGGAAAAAAAATTGGAATTGTTCTTGAATTAGGGCTTCGATTTTGATGTTGTTGTATAGGTTTTTCAATAGAGAGATTTGATTGTGGAACATTTGTCGTCGTAGCTTAAAGCCAAAAAAAAAAAGATGACTGGCGTTGGCGAGAATCAGCTTATCTCCATTCAACCTGATGAACTAAAATTTCTCTGTAAGGCAAAGATCGTGATATGCATTGTCTCATCTATGCTTAATTTGTGAAATGTTGTCAATGAGAAAAGGGTTCTCTTGAATTTGCCATCTTTTGTTCTCTAGAGATTTCGAAATTGTGTGAATCATTGCTTGTTTTCCTCTTGTTTACACCAACATTCAAATTTTTGTTAACTTCTTTGAGCTTTTGAGGTTCTGACTTTAAATAATGTTGATTCTCTTGGTTATTAAGAAAATTGCTGTTTGAAACTTTTGGAGGGTCCTCCTTTTGGATGACATTGGAATTATTGATTACGTTTGCAGTTGAACTAGAGAAACAAAGCTACTGTGATCTTAAAGTTGCCAATAAAACAGAGCACTATGTTGCTTTCAAGGTAATTCTGCATCAAACCACCAACTTCATATGCTTTCTTTCATGATCAAGATATATCGTGCTTTACATTGAATTCTTTTTTGCGTGTTTTTCTTCAAAAAACCAGGTGAAAACAACATCTCCAAAGAAGTATTTTGTAAGACCTAACACTGGTGTCATTCAGCCATGGGACTCTTGCATCATTAGAGGTACAGTGATTCTTCATAACTCTTTCTTTCATTGGCAGTTTAAAACTTGAACATGGAGATGATTAGGATCTTGTAAATTCTAGTTACTCTTCAAGCGCAACGGGAGTATCCTCCAGATATGCAGTGCAAAGACAAATTTCTTCTGCAAAGTACCATTGTACCTCCACACACTGATGTGGATGAACTTCCACAAGACACTGTAAGAAATCCAAGTTTTAAACCTTTTTAATTCAGATTCATCTTGTTTCCACAATTTTGGGAAAACAAATTGACATTATATTTGCAATACTTGTGTCTAGTTCACCAAGGACAGTGGAAAGACATTAACAGAATGTAAGCTCAAAGTCTCTTATATTTCCCCGTCTACAACCCAAAGATCCTCTGAATCTGGAGCAACAAATGGTGATGGACAAAGCTCGGAAACCATCTCTGTGAGTACCATTTACACTCACCTATATACTTTAATATGCATGTGGTATTGACTTACTGAAATTTCTCTTACATCACTACTCGAGTTTCTAGGTCAATACCTTGTGTGAATCATTTCGCTAACCTGTTGTGGTTATAGCAAAACCCTTTTAGTATGATGATATACCATGGACCTCTTGCATATACAGACACCTTATTATTAATAGTCCCTTTTCTGTGATACCTCTCTGCAAGAACTATTATTCAAAGTTTCATTCAAATCCCAGTATTCACACTTTTGGTTTTCAAGCAATAGAAACTGTAATGAGGAACTTAGTTGATCGGTTGGGACAGTGAGAAATACACTGGTTTTCAATGCTTTAACTTTTTGTCTCTGTTATTATACCTTTCTTCATAAGGTGAACAAATGTACCTCACAGTATCTCACAAGTGACCACATTCATAGCTTAAGAAAGATTAATTCTTGTCTTGTTTTAATCATCATTCTGGACGTTTATACCATCAATATGTATGAACAGACTATACAGCGGCTGAAGGAAGAGCGTGATGCTGCCGTTAAGCAAACACAACAGCTGCAACATGAATTGGTATGCTTCCATGAACCTTCCTTGATATTTTAGCATTGGTTAGTGCTTGCAATCATATTACCATTCAGACAAAATCATGTGAACATAACAGTGCTTAATAACAAAGGATACTGCCTAACATGTTTTTGAACGACATTGCAGGAAACGGTGAGGAGGCGGAGAAACCAGAGGAACAGCGGAAATGGGCTATCCTTGAAGTTGGCAGCTATGGTCGGACTCATCGGACTCATCATCGGTTTCATCCTAAAACTCACCTTAGCTTCTCCCACATAACAACTCTTGAGCTACTCCGCATCGCCTACCATCTCAGTATATGTAACTGCGGAATCAAAACAGATTCACATATATTTTCGGGTATTTTAATCTTCTAAATTTGGGCTTATTTCTATCCCTCTCTTTCTTTCTCCTTAATGTTCTACACGTTTCTTCCATCAAATTTTCTTCTTTTTCAGTTATATTTTATGTACATTTTTGACCCAACAGACCCTTTCATCATTGGATTTAACGTGTCCCACTTTTTCAATCCTCTTGTGCTTTATTGAAAATGACTAATCCTTTGTATTGTTTACCGCTTTGCGAAGTAATTCTGTCTTTAACTGAAAACTTGTGCATATGAGCTTTTGTTTAAATTGATGAATATGCATAATATTGTTTTTTTTTTTTTTTTTATCAATTCGACCAATTCATCAGAAAATCACTATGGCTTTATGTGAACAGTCTCAAAGTCATAAAGAAATATTAGTAATAGCAACAAGTTAATAACAATTGAAGAAAGATTACGGTAAGAAAACAGAATTAAATCTCTCAGAGAGTAACTAACTCCAATACAATCTTCTTCCACTTCTGGTCTAGATTGATAACTTTCTTCAGCTCTGCTTTGACGTTTACCTCTGACTCAAATCATTTACCTTTAACTGCAGATTGGTTGTTATTCTCAAGATTTTCCATGTCTCGTTTGAGTAAAATTGAAGGAGACACTGATTTAGGATTTGAGCTATTAATAGAAGAATAGAAGAACAGAAAACAAGCTTTGAGCTCTCTAAGTCTAAGATCTGAGAGATGAAGAAGAGAGAGCCGAAAGTAAAGAAATGTTTTCGTTACCGTCTAAGAATAGTGTTTACAAGTTTATATACACTTTCTATTCTTGACCTAGTATCTAAACCGGAACAAACCGGTTAATTACAATTGAACCGAAACATAAGATTAAACCATAATCTAATAGTCCCCCTCAAGATGGAGCAAATATATTTATAATCTCCATCTTGGACAGCAGATGCTTGAATTGAGCTGGAAACAGAGGCTTTGTGAGTATATCCGCTAACTGATTCTCTGTGCGCACATGAAGAGTCTTGACCAAGCCGAGAATGATCTTCTCTCGAATATGATGACAATCCAATTCTATATGTTTGGTTCTCTCATGAAAAACTGCGTTATTGGCTATGTGTATGGCGGCTGTGTTGTCGCAGTACAAGACTGAAGCTTCTGAAACATCTATCCAAAGATCACTGAGAATGTATCTTAACCAAACCATTTCTCTCACTGCCATAGACATTGCACGATATTCTGCTTCTGCAGAGGACATTGAGACCACATTCTGCTTCTTGGATTTCCAGGAAACTAGAGAAGTTCCAAGAAACATGCAGTATCCAGTAGTGGATTTTCGTGAGTCTCGGCATGAACCCCAATCAGAATCCGCAAAAGCAGAAAGCTTCAAGTCAACAGACGCAGAATAAAATAGACCTTGACCAACAGTTCCTTTCAAGTAATGAATTACCTTGTAAACAGCTTTGAGATGTGGAGCACGAGGTGATGATGAGAATTGACACAACCTATGGACTGCATAAGTGATGTCTGGTCTTGTAAAGGTGAGATACATTAATTTACCAACCAACTTGCGATAACGTTCAGCATCTTCCAGTAGTTCACCATCATCTTGTGTCAACTTCAGATTTGGTTCCATGGGAATGGAGCTTGGTTTGCATCCAAGTAGGCATGTCTCATCCAACAATTCAAGAACATATTTCCTTTGACATAGGGAGATACCTTCAGCATTTCTGGCAATCTCTAGGCCAAGAAAGTATCTGAGTGTCCCCAAATCTCGCAGCTTAAAAGAGCACTGTAATGCCTCCTTTAAGAGTCTGGTGGCTTCATCACAGCTACTAGCAATTATTATATCATCCACATATACTAAAACTGCCATGTATAAATTTCCAGAATTCTTAGTAAAGAGAGTGTGATCACCTGAAGATTGAGTGAATCCCAACTGTCTTAAAGAATAAGAAAACTTCAAGTACCACTGACGAGAGGCTTGCTTCAGCCCATAAAGAGACTTTTTCAATTTGCAGACAGCATTCTTAGGGAAACTGTCCCCCTCTTTTGGTGAGTATCCAGGTGGTAATTGCATATATATTTCCTCCTCCAAGTCACCATTTAAGAAGGCATTGGATATGTCCAATTGTGTGAGAGACCATCCTTTTGCAGCAGAGACAGCAAGAAGCATTTTGACTGTTGTAAGCTTGGCAACAGGTGAGAATGTTTCAATGTAATCAAGTCCTTCCTTCTGAGTGTATCCTTTAGCAACTAACCTTGCCTTGTATCGCTCCAATGTACCATCAGCGTTTAATTTGATCTTATAGACCCATTTGCATCCAATGGCCTTTTTGTCGGGTGGAAGAGAGCAAACAATCCAAGTCTCATTATCCTCAAGTGCTGTGATCTCAATACCCATTGCATCACACCATTCTTTAATCAGTTGTGCTTGAGCAAATGTGTGAGGCTCTGGGATCTTATTCACAGCATTAATGAAAATCATATAAGGATCAGATAGGGAGGAATAAGAGAGGACCTTTGAAATGGGATGGTCTGTGGATGATTCAACAGAATAACAATGGTAATCATTGAGGTAAGAAGGTGGTCTTGACACTCGTTGATGTTGACTTGTCTTGATTTCTGGACTCGGGGTTTCAACAGGTGAGGAAGTGCTTCCCTTATCAGTGTAAACGTGAGGAAAGAAATGTGACAACTCATTGTTTTCTTACTTCTCTTTTCTGAATGGGAACAAATCCTCATAGAAAACAACATTTCTGGAAATAAATATGGCATTGCTCTCCAAATCAAGGAGCTTATATCCTTTATATCCAGAAGGATATCCAAGAAAGACGCAGGCCCGTGCTCTATCTTGAAACTTATGGCGCTGTTTTGGAGAAGTGCTAGCATAGCACAAGCAACCAAAAGTCATCAAGTGAGTGTATTCAGGAACCTTCTTTGTCAGCACCTCAAATGGAGTCTTGTTCAAGAGGACAGGAGTAGGTGTTCTATTAATGAGAAAGACTGCAGTGAGAATGCAATCTCCCCAGAAAGAGAGAGGAACCTGAGATTGGAAGAGGAGGGCTCTGGCCACATTTAAAATGTGTTGGTGCTTTCTCTCCACCACCGAATTTTGTTCCGGTGTCTCAGGACATGAGTGGTAAGGAACAATCCCTTTTCTTTTGTACAATTCTTCAAACTTGAGCTCTGGTGCGTTGTCGGATCGAACTGACTTTACTCTAATCCCATATTGAGTTTCCACCATTGTAAGGAAATCTGGGAAAACTTTGAGAACATCGCTCTTGAGTTTGAGGAGATACACCCATGTGACTCTTGTATGGTCATCCACAATCGTTAAGAAATACCTATATCCCTCTTGTGTTGATTCTGTAAAAGGTCCCCAAGTGTCTATGTGAAGTAAATCAAATGGAGCAGAACTTATATTTTGACGAGTAGGATAAGGTAATTTCTTCTGTTTAGCACGCTGACAAATATCACAATGCAACAATCCTTTATTCTTGTGTTTAGAAATCCCAAGTACATCTGTGAGCAAATCTATGCGTTCAAAAGAAGTGTGGCCAAGCCTTTGATGCCAAACAGATGCATCAATTACAGAATTAGCAACAAAAGAGGTAGAAACTAAATCTTCATCCACTGAGTCTTCAACATCCAGGACATATAGATTTCCAATTCTTCTACCTTCTCCAATCATTGATCCCTTGGTGAGATCCTGTATCACACAACAGCTTGAATCAAACATTACTCTAGCACCAATATCTGTAGTTAAAGCACTCACACTAAGCAGATTCAATCGGAATTCAGGAATATACAGAACATTTCTCAACACAATGTCTCCATTAATAGCAATGCTCCCAACACCTCCAACTTTTATTGTAGTACCATTGGGAAGGTTCACATGATGTTGAGCTGAAGTGTTAAGCTCAATAAACATCTCTCTAACATGACATACATGGTGTGTAGCACCAGAATCCACAATCCATGTTTTAAGAGTCATGGCATTTTTAGATACAGTGAGAATACCAATGAAGCTGAAAGTGGAAGAGGAAAATGTTATACCAGATGGGTCATTTGGAGAACTGTGTGAAACTGAAGCTGTGTTCTGAACTTGACTAGCAGGCTGCAACTGAGAGCTAAATAAGGCAATGAAATTTTGAACCTGATCCTTACTTAGATTTCCAATGAGGTCTTCCAAACCAGCAGGAGCAGATTGACTGTTACTTGAAACCTGAGCAGTGACTGCAGAGTTCATCTTAGAGGATTGACCTTGTTGCTGAGATTTCTCAGAGAATGACTTCCCTTTCTTCCAGCCAATAGGGTAGCCATGTAACTTATAACACTTATCCGAAGTGTGTCCTGTGTAGCCACAGTAAGAGCAAGTCGGCTTAGGGTCCCTTCTTTGAACCGCATTCAACGCACCAGGTTGAGCCATATTTTGAGAAGCAGTCAACACACCAGGTTGAGTGCTCTCTTTACTGATCTGAAAAGCAGCTGGAGCAACATTGTTGCTAAACTGCCTCTGACTATCATCTTGGTCCAAGATGTTGTAAATTTCTGACAAGTTGGGAAGTGGTTTCTTCATGATGATTTGACCCCTGATGATAGAGTATTGCTCATTCAAACCAGCTAAAAACTTAATGACCCTGCCTCTATCTATCTTAGATTTCGCAGAAAGTTGACCAGCACAGTTAGCTTTCTTACAGCAAGCACAAGGATCATTAGCCTCAGCACCATCGAGATTATCCCATAAAGTTTTCAGTTTTGTGTAATAGGTAGAGAGGTCCATAGAACCCTGGCGAAGGTCTTGGATTTGCTGAATCAGTTGGAAGGTTCGAGGTAGGTTTGTCATATGGAATCGATTGTGAAGATCTATCCATATTTGAGAAGCATCATCGAAAGACAAGATACTACCATAGATTTGCTTACTAACAGAGTTAAGCAACCACGACTTTACCATGCTATTACACCTAGACCAGATTCGAAACAGAGGATTACCTTCTTCAGGTCGAGGAAATGAGCCATCTATGAATGCGATCTTGTTCTTCGCATCCAAAGCAATCTTCATCGCTGAGCTCCACTGATTGTAGTTCGACCCATCCAGTTGCTCAGAGACAATCGATCTCCCTGGGTGGTCGGCACTATGAAGAAACAGTGGAGAATGAACACTATCCGGGTTCATCATGACAGACATAGCAAGCGGAGCATTCGAAGCTTCCGGAACAGGAGTCAAGCTTCCTGCACGATTCGTGCTTCCTGCACGTGATGAGCTTCCCGATTTGCGAGTGTTACGGCGAATGACTGCTTTAACCATGGTGAGATTTTGAGAAACCAAATCGAAGGAGAAACAAAATCAGAGTAGAACTTTGAGCTAAACCTATAGCTCTGATACCATAATAGAAGAATAGAAGAACAAAAAACAAGCTTTGAGCTCTCTAAGTCTAAGATCTGAGAGATGAAGAAGAGAGAGCCGAAAGTAAAGAAATGTTTTCGTTACCGTCTAAGAATAGTGTTTACAAGTTTATATACACTTTCTATTCTTGACCTAGTATCTAAACCAGAACAAACCGGTTAATTACAATTGAACCGAAACATAAGATTAAACCATAATCTAATAGCTATAATATTGAATCAAAAGTTTTAACAGAGATATATACCTGAGAACAGAGTAATCTTCTAGATGTGGAAATTTACGCAAGTGAAAATGTAAAATAAAAATAACTTGTATGTATTTATTTTTATTGATTAAGTAATTTAAATTTTCAAAAAAAACATGATTTTATTAATTAGGATATCCAAGCCTTGTTTAAACCAATTTTAGTCGAATTGATCAGTTATTAATTTTTACGCGAGTGGCTCATACTCATAGAGATTGCAAAACCCTAAGGTGTGGTGCAGTTAGGTATGGTTGGGGAACGACTAGCCGAAGCCAATCCGGTCTCTCTCTGCTCTCATGATGACATGCCCTCTTGTTTTGCTCGTTTGATTCGAAACTGGCTTTTGATTTGTCGTTTCCTGTAATGGGGTTTGTTTCTCTTTTGTTCCTCCTATACTTAGAAAATTTAGACTCTTGTGTTAAAATATCTGAAACAGAGACTAAAGGATTGAATCCGAGTTTCTGGTTGTTGTGATCTTCAAACCTTGTTCTGTGTTTCTTTTATTAACGGATAGGATATTCTCAAAATATTCGCAAAACTGTTGTATATATTGGTAGATATTAGTTCCGTTAATATCTTTGATTAGCTATCATTCAATTTACAACTTAAGATTTTGACTTTAGACTTTTGACAGAGAGCATGCATGCATAATAGAAAAGCTTACCTCATTTTCAGATTGTGATTTCACCAAAGTACTTCAACCTCACTGTTAGCTCATTGACTTGCATTGCTCTGTAATATTTTTTTTACCGTTTTCTTGTTCGATGCTTTTGCAGTAATAAGTACTCTGAATTTTCAAATGATTTCTATTCAACCTAACTGTTAGCCACTCATTGACTTTGCATTGCTTTGTCTCTTTTAAAAGAAAAAGATTATAATGATGTGATTTACGTACAGGTCTATGGTGATAATAAGCTTGGTTCCTTTGAGAGATCGTTTAAGAGTACTCGGCAAAGGAAGCTTTATCTGCTAGGTCTGCTGATGAAGCAATTCAGAGCGGTGCGAGAATTGATCAATGATTTCGCATTTTCGCATCCCGAGTTATCTGCAAAGGAAACTTCATCTGGCAGTGCAAGAACAACCTCTTGGATGAAAAATGAGATTGTCTTGCACACACAACTCTCTACCGTCACTAGAACTAGAAGCTCATCAATGGCGTATATTCGTTTTAGGGGAAAAAAGGTGAGAATCTTTTTAATAACACTCAATAGGATTGAAGCTACAAGTATAGTTTAACACTTGTGAAGAGAAGCAACCATTGTAGTAGTCACTCCAAAAAAGGTATATTCATACCGTACAATTGGCAAAGTGTGTTTTCATATCTGAACAAACACGTAGGGTTAATTCCAACCTAAATTGTAAAAAAAATTGAATTTCATATCTAAACTTTAGATTTAGTGTTTTTTTCGGAGTCGTAATTAACCAGTGTTAGTTAACCGTCACGGTTGCTGAGTCAACTGACACGTGCTTGATGAGGTGGCTTAAAACAACGTCATTGTGTTTGTTGGATGTACGTTGCTTTCAAGAAACTCAGCAATCTGCAAAACAAATTCATAATTAATATCCACTTTATATGATCTCTTCTAATCATATCTATATTGTACCATTACTGGAGCAAATGGCTTCAGAAAGACCTTTGTTTATCGTTTCCAAGGCAGACGCAAACACGCTGATTCTCTTCTGTATTTCTATAGACTGCATTGGATATGTAAAACCTACCCAACTTCAACATCTAAGATAGGCTTCGAAAATATCTTAAGCCGAGCGAAAAAGCCCCGCTGTTCGGCTTTCAACAACACTGACGATGTGAGGAGGCTTTAAATGAAATAGATTTTGGTGCTGGTAACTGTAATGCTATGTGCCTACAGAAACGGAAGGGAATGGGTCGATGTGTCAAAACAACAGTCGACAATACCTTAAAATGCATGTCTTTTTTTTGTTTAAAGTTTTTTTTCCAATATGAAATGTGATGAATTGATCTCAATCATCTCAAACTAGTCAAGAAACTGAAATGGTAATCCTAAATTTTAGATTAATTACAAAAATAAGTTACAAGAAGTATGTCAAATCGATTCGATCCAGTTACTTATTTTCTCATGAAATAAATTTTAATTTGCTTAGCTAATTAATTTTTTAGGTATCATAAATTCAATAATTGAGAATAGTCTATTTTTTTTTCTTCATCATTTATACTCCAAGAGAGGGTATATATTGAGTATCATTGTCAAGATTAGATAATTTTGGAGTTTTATCCAACATATAATAGCTAAAAGCGATAATCTCATTAGATTGAGATGGATTTTGGAGAAAGAAAATAACAATGAATATGGTTCTTGTTGTTGAAAGCATTGTGTAAATCTCGTTCAATTAGTATCGGCTCATTTAAGGTGTGAGTCATGAAATAGAAATTGTTATGGAAACAAAGACGCATGAGGCAAAATATTAATCGGTTGCATATGGATTTGAGTATCTCGGAGATTAAACTGGTTATGGAAGTTGACGGTTATAAGATTAAACCGGTTATGGAAGTTGACGATTATAAGGTATTCAAGGGTATTCGTGATAATCGTCTTGTGGCTGATAACTGGGGAACAATGGCGAGCCACCAGCTTCCACCAGCTGAAATTGTTTGAAGCCGACTAAAACATCTTAGACGCTGTAATTTGGCTCAGACATCGAATGCATGAGCATGATCCATATAATACTCTTCTACAGCATCTCGATATTCTTTTATTCCAGATCTTCTTCGTCTAGTCTTTGTATCTCTTCTATGTTTTTATAAGCGTTTAGGATAATTGGTTTTCCATTCTTTAAGTCTCTATTGGAAACATGTAATCATAGCATTAGTTAGTGAACCAGTATCAGCCCAATTCTAAAAAATAAGGGGCGGGGGAGAGATCTACCCAGGCCCGGCTCACAGGGGTGGGCAGGGGTGCGACGGCCAAAGGCCTTTTTTTTTTAATTCAAAAATACTTCAAAAAAAGGCTCATATTTATTTCAAAAAATTAATATAACCCAAAATCAGATATAAAAGACCCAGATTTTTTATTAAAAAACCATAAAAAAGCCCAAAATTTTGAAAATAATTTGTTTTTATAAGGAAAAAAATACCAAAAAAATATTTTAAAATAGTAAAAAAAAAATTATAATGCTAAAAGGCCCAAAAAATTTTTTTGCCCAGAGGTCATCATTTTCTTTGGGCCGGGGCTGGATCAACCTCATCCTTTCTCTAACTCTAGCCAAAAAGTTTTGAGCAGACGACCCTCTACATAGGAGCATTTGTAGTAAATGCTCTCGGCATTGCTTTAGAATCTGGTATTTTTGGCTTTTCATATCATTTAACCACAGTAGGAGAGCTTCTTGTCTTGGAGATTTCCTTGTCTGTCTGCAAATCTCCAACATGGCGTAACAAATGCCGAAACATAACAGAGAGAGCCAAACATAAACAACAGTAGAGCTGAGTCCATAACACTCAATACCGAGAGTGGCATCTTTCTCAACAAACTCATAGAGGTAAACCTCTGAAACAGTAATGGTTGTGAAACAGTTTGTTTACCCAAGCGAACTATCAATTCTTTTAACCACAATTCACTGTAGATCCATCTCGCATCCCGATCTAGGCAAACCAGTCTCCGCCACAATCACCGGAAGATTCTCGTGGCCCCTGACGGCCATAGAGCCAATCACAACATCAACCATCATATCAAAGAGTTTAACTCCGGTAGTAAGATCAAAGAAAGAGAACGTCGTGGATACAGATATACCGTAGATTCTCAGATCTGAGAGAGATATATGAACGTTCTGCATAGCGCGGAGGAGAAAAAACGGCGAAACCTCCGGCGACGGAAATTGTTGAGATATTGGAAGGGAAGCACATAGATATGGACCCAATGCATCGCGAGCGAACGATTTGAAGCAAGGATAGGAACTAGAGAGGAGGAGAGATACGTTGGTGTAAGCAAAGGCGCTAATCACCGCCGGATTCGAGTCGAGAAATGGAAGCTGGAGTTCTGATACAGTAGTCATTCTCTCCCTCTTATTAACCAGGGAAGTTAAAAGGGGTTTCAAAACCCGGCCCGTCACGGCCCAGTACAAGCTCGGCCCTTTAAAAACCTGTGTTATATTTATCCATCTCATTAACCCTAGATCTTATTCTAATCAGGAGGAATCCAATTATAGATGAGATCAGAGTGGGTTTCTCCATCGCCGGTTACTATGGTTGTGAATTGGCTCGCCGGGAAACGCAGCAATCCGATACATGGTTTCGAAAGAGCGATAGACCGGCTAAACAAGGTATCTATCATCCGATTTCATATATGTCTTTGATCTTGTATTAGTAGTGTCATCATCATATACACACGTTTAGAATCCATTCTCAATTTTCTTTAATCTTCTTTAGGGGCTTGAGCTCATTGAACAAAAGGAGAAATCTTGCCTTGAGAAGGCTTCCATGGAATTTGAGATGGCAAAACAACATTACGGGTCTAATAACAAAATTTGTACGTACGACGACCAAAGCTTTTCCTTCACTGTAGATTGGGTTTAATAATTAACAAAAACATGTTTTGTTGTCATCATGCAGGTGCTTTAAACTGTATTAAAAGGAAGCAGATAATGGAGGAATCAGCTCGACGTTATGTGCCTCTTCGCCTGGCTTTACTTAAAGAAGTGAGACTTTGTTTCTTTTATGTGGTTCTACTTGTACATGATCAGTTTTTTTATTTTCCAACTTTCTTAACACCAATTTTCTTCCTTGTTTTAAACAGTTGATGTTAACGGAATTTATGAAGAACGAGTTTATTTCGGCTGAACGTCTGAAGAAGAAGAAGAAACTGATTGAAGAGTTGCGTCTGGAGCCAACACTTGTGTTTATTTGTTTTTGGTTTTTCCTTTTAATGCTAGCAATTAGCATATCAAAGGGTTTGTTGGCAATATAGTACGTTTGTGAGTAATAATTGGGAAAGTAGTACGAATACTATTTATAATTAGAGAAACAGTCAATTATTAGTGTTTATGTAGTAGAATTTGTGTGAGATAGGAGAGAAAGTGGGGTAGAGTGTAAGAGAGTGGAAATTACTATTAGGGGCTTTGTATTTGTGAGAAAGAGAAACGTGGGTCATGTTTTTTAATTTTAATTTCTTTTTTTTTCTTTATTATCTCATATTCCTCTAAAGTCTCATAATTAAAATGCTCGTTCGTAAACTTTATTTTTCTGAAAATTGATCATATACATAAAAATCTATGTTTTTTTCTCTATCATTTGATATGCATTTTGTTTTATAATTTTTAAAATTTATATTACCGAACACTGTACAAATAATATACATATATAAACCATTGTACAGATATGGACTGTACAGAAGAATGACTGTACAGATATAAACCACTGTACAGATATAAACCATTATACATAATACCACTGTACAGATACATATATAGACCACTGTACAGAAGAATGACTGTACAGATATAAACCATTGTACATATATAAATCATTGTACAGAAGACTACTGTACAGAATACCACTGTACAGATACATATATAGACCACTGTACAGATATAGACCATTGTACAGATAAAATTCGTAAATTTTATTTTTCTAAAATTGATCATATACATAAAAATCTATGTTTTTTTCTATCATTTGATATGTATTTTATTTTATAATTTTTAAAATTTATATTATCGAACACTCTACAAATAATATACAGATATAAACCACTGTACAGATATAGACTGTACAGAAGAATGACTGTACAGATATAAACCACTGTACAGATATAAACTATTGTACAGAAGACCACTGTACAGAATACCACTGTACAGATATAGACCATTGTACATATATAGACCAATGCTCGTTAATGTTTGTAATGTAGTAATATTTACTATTCAAAATTGGAGAATTAGTCAGTTTATACTGTACAGAAGAATGACTGTACATATATAAACTACTGTACAGAATGATACATCTGTACAGAAAGATACAGCTGTACAGAAGGATAAATCTGTACAGAAAAATGTATGTGGAATGAAGATTTGAGCAAAAATAATTATATGTTTAAGTCCACAAATAATTATAGAAAGATACAATTATTATATTTGTACATGTTTCTAGCTGGACGGATATATTTCCTTCCATATGTTTAAAACGAGTTCATTCTTTTAAGTTTAATAAAATGTCATATATTAGAATTCAAGTGCACCAGCAATACAACTTTGTAAATACACAATCTCAGAAAATTTCAACCATCCTACTCATCCAAAACATTATTTTGAACCCAAGTATTGTTCTTGTTTTGTATTAAATGTGTAATAGGCAATCTTTTAGGGTTGGGATGTAATTCTTTTCGTTAGATTCATTTAAAATATGTTGGGAGATAAATTTTAGAGAAGTGTCTATTTTCGTAGTTATAGTGCAACGTTGTTGTATTTTCTAGAATAGGGGTAGTTAATTAGGTTCAAGGAAATTGAAATGCAAAACATTTTACTTTTAAAGGAAGGAAATGGAAGAAAACAGTCAAACAGAAACCGGGCCTTGTGGCCTAGTGGTAAAGGGGTCACAGCTGCCACCAGGGTTCGAGGCACGGCCACTGGCAGATTTACATAGGGGAATTGCCAGCTTCGTGGGATTAGTCCTTGGACTAGGAAGCCTTTGGGAGACCCGCGGTTATTCAAAAAAAAATCAAAAAAAAAAAAAAAAAAAAACCAGTCAAACAGAAGTTAAGAGGTGACATCAGATTGTGTCAAAGGAATATGTTCCTTGCCAATATTGGTATCAACAAATGCAACGCAAAGCAACACCCATGTGTTTGTTTTTACACATATTATAGAATCACATGGGATTTATGATTTAAGATGCTTTTAGAAGCTTTGTTTTAGGAAAGCTTGGACGTCAAAACAACTAACAGTTTTCTTTGATTCTACTACTCTCCAACACAGTAATTAACAATGGTAAATCAGTCTTTCTGCATCTAGAAACTAACACAGTGAGACAAATTGAGCCTTATTGATTTATCATAAGTAATGTCACGGAATGTACAAACCTGAACGTATAAGTATTAAAAAAATAGATACAAAAGCAATCTCATGTAAGAAACAAAGCCTCTCATGTGCTAGAACATAAGTATTTACCCATCTATCCTTTTTTTTCTCATCTTTCTGTTCAACCTTTAGCTCCTCCGTAATCCTCTGTTTCTACAAATTGTATTGGTAGTCTCTTTAGTTTAACCATAAGGAAACAAAACATGAGCACAAATCAAGAGAAGGCAAAAAATCAGAGGGAGATTCTTACTGTTTCAAGCACTCGGAGAAGGTTCTGCGTTGATATGAACAGGATGTGCGGGTTTGAGTCGCGAAAGATGGTCAGTTTTTGAGACAAAACTGGGATATTCTTGATGGGTTGTTGCCACTAATGGCGGGAGAAAAAAAAAACAATGTGTGTATGATATTTACACGTTTTCGTCTCTGCTATTGTAACTACTATGTGTGAAAAAATCTGTACTGTAGTTTTGGCTACCAAATGCCATTCTTCTAAACAATCTGATCTCTGCTGACTGTTGAGCTGAGTTAAAGACCTCGCTTTCGCCTAGTCTCATTCCGTTGGTGAGGTCTTCCGCAGCTAAACTTTCAAAAGCTCTCACAATCTGCAAAAATATTTTAAGATTCCTTCAAGTGTTAGGCAAATAAACTCTTATCCAGGAAAGAAGAAAAGAAAATGTTAGTACTTGTCCCATTCGAGGTCTCTTGGTAGCTAAATGGCGTACGCAGGCTCCGCTGCTTCAATCATTCTAAACATTTCAGATTCGACATAGTTTCCTCCAAGCTTGGGATCTGCTAAAGAATCAAATTCCTCGGTTTCTATGGCATGACTTATCAGAGGCCGGGCCTGAAAAACAAATAATGCAAAGGTCAATTCAAACTTCTTGAGGATATGAAAGAAAAGTTCGAATAGCGGGCGTACCCATTCAAAATTAAAAACAAATGTGAATGAGAGATATAATAATTAATTTACGAACCCAAAATTATACATCTTTGATTATTTAAGAAATGACACAATTCTCAAGAGTAGAACCAAATTCAGCTCTCCATTTCAATAAAACACCATCATCAATCCCTAATTCACCACTAGGAAGCTCGATTCGAAGAAACCGAATCTCATCGAAGTTTTTCAAAACCTGAGTCGGAGAATGATGCGTCACACCTCCTTGTTCAATCTCTCCATCATATCCACCACCACTAATCAACAACGAAGAAGGAGAAGATGATCCTGAAGGAGAAGAAGCAGAACCTGAGCGTTTAAGGAAATATTAAGCATATAATTGTATATAGTTATTTAGTATATACAGCTGTAATTATGTATAGTATAAATACTCTTTGTACAGTACATTTTCAGATTAATGAGAAATTATCTTCTTCTTTATCTCTTAATCTAATATGGTATCAGAGCTTATTCTTCCTTCCGCAACAAGATTTCTCATTCAGATCCTCATCATCGAGCTTCGATCTCCATGATCTGAGCTCATTTTTCTTCTTCTTGACCTTCGTTTATCATAGATCGGGCTTTGTTTCATCTTTTTTGAGCTCCGATTGCTCTTTTTCATCTTCTGTTGCTCGCGTGTTTCTGGTTTCGTTTCAATGGCGGCTCCGACTCGCGATTCTTATGACAATCCTTATTTTCTCACTAATAATGATCATTCCGGTTTGGTTTTGGTCTCCGATCGTCTCACCGGAGCTGGTGATTTTGGTTCGTGGCATCAATCGATGATTATGGCGCTAAATGGACGTAATAAACTCTGTTTTGTTGATGGTAGTCTCCCGAAGCCAGATGATGCTAATCGTGATGCTGCGGCCTGGTCCAGAGTTAACGATGTGGTACGTTCTTGGTTGATGAACTCCGTTTCTAAAACAATTGGTCAGAGTGTGTTGTATGTGAAAACTGCTCATGGAATTTGGCAAAAGCTACTACAACGTTTTAAGCAGAATAATGTCCCTCGCCTTTATCGGATTGAACAGAAACTTGCAGGTCTTCGTCAAGGATCCATGGATGTTAATACTTTTTACACCAAATTAGTCACCATTTGGGAAGAAGTTAAGAGTGCACAGGATTTTCCTGTTTGTCAATGTGGTGGTTGTGAGTGTGAAATTGATCGCAAATGGATGGATTTGTTTGAAAGGAACTTTGTGATTAAGTTTCTCTTTGGTTTAAATGATTCTTATGAACATGTCAGAGAGTCAATTGTGATGAAAGATCCTTTACCAGACTTGGAAAAGACATTGAACTTGGTTATTCAGCATGAGCATCAGCAGGAAATCAAGCAAGTACCTCAGTCTGGTTCAGTGGTGTTTCAAATGAGTTCTCAAAATTCTCAGCCTTCTTTTGATTCAAATTATCAGGCTCCAGTTCCTGACAATTGTTCAGGATATAATGAAGTTGTGGGTGCTGTTTCAGGAGGATTCAAGCCTAGGCAGAGACCAGTGTGTACCTACTGTGGTTTACAAGGACACATTGTTACTAAATGTTACAAACTGCATGGTTACCCTCCTGGTTACAAGACATCTGCTCAATCTTATGGAAATCAACAAAATTTTGGATCTTCTTCTCAGTCTTATGGAGTACCACAGAATGCTCCTTCTGTTTTCGCTCCTAAACAGTTTCAGCCGCGTCCTCCTGTTTCCTCTTCACAGCAACAATTTGGACAACAATTTAACAATCAGCCAAGGATGCCTAATCCAAAAGGTTCCAGAGATAATGTCGTTGGCAATGTTATTACGAATTCTCCTGCAGTTCAAGATCATTTTCATCAGGTCTCAAATGCATTGGCTCAATTATCTCCAGAACAAATTGAACAGTTGGCTTCTCAACTTACCAATAAAGCTAGTTGTCAGATGCCAAGTATAAATGAGTCTCCTGGTGTCAATTATGCCTCTACATCTGCAGGTAATCTCATTTGCACAACACTAAAGGAATCCTGCCTTAATTTTACTGCTTGGATTATTGATTCTGGAGCAACAACACATGTTTGTTGCAACTTAGGTTTGTTTGCTGATATTAATAGTATCTCTGAAACCACTGTTAAACTACCAAACAGTACTCAGATTATTATAAATCAATCTGGTACTGTTAGGCTATCTGATAAACTTCTTCTTCATAATGTTCTTTTTGTTCCTTCTTTTCATCTCAATCTTATTAGTGTAAGCTCCCTTCTTCAAGAATGTGCATACTCTGTTAATTTCTTTCCTTCCTTTTGCACTATTCAGGAGTTTACTCGGGGCTTGATGATTGGTAAAGGTCGGTTACAAAATAAACTCTACTTTCTGGATTTAGAGTCTTCACCATCATCACAGTCTCCATCTTCATCTCTTATTTGCAATCTCTCTGTTCCTGAGTCTAGTTCTCTTTGGCATTCAAGGCTTGGTCATCCATCTTTCCCTAAGATTCAAGTTTTAGCTGAAGATCTCTCTATTTCTAAAGCAAAGCTCAAAGACTGGTCCCATTGCAAGACTTGTCATTTAGCTAAACAAAAACGTTTATCTTTTCCTTCTCTTAATAATCTTTCTCAGAAACCTTTTGATCTTGTTCACATGGATGTTTGGGGTCCTTTCTCTGTTATTTCTCATGAAGGTTTTCGATATTTTCTTACTCTTGTCGATGATTGTACTCGTGTCACTTGGATTTATCTCTTGAAAAATAAAAATGATGTTTTACAAGTTTTTCCTTCTTTTCTCAATTCTATTGAAACACAACATGCTACTAAAGTAAAGGCTATTCGTTCTGATAATGCTCCTGAATTATCTTTTACATCACTTCTTCAATCTGAAGGCATCTTTCACTACTTTTCTTGTGTTGATACACCACAACAAAATTCTGTGGTAGAAAGAAAACATCAACATATTCTAAATGTTGCTAGAGCACTTCTTTTTCAATCAAATCTTCCTACTACATATTGGAGTGAATGTATAAGAACTTCTGTTTATCTCATTAACAGAACTCCTTCTCCTTTATTGCAAAACAAAACTCCTTATGATCTTCTCATGAACAAAAAGCCTAAATACTCTCATTTAAAAAATTTTGGTTGCCTTTGTTATGCCTCTACTTATCCAAAGGATAGAAACAAATTTTCTCCTCGAGCAGAAGCTTCTGTTTTTATTGGCTATCCCTCTGGTTACAAGGGCTATAAAGTCCTCAATCTTGAAACTCACTCAATCTCTATTTCCAGAAATGTCATTTTTCATGAAGACATATATCCTTTTCAGTCTTCTGAGCTTCCTTCTTCTACTTTAGATCTTTTCTCCCCAAGCATTCTTCCTCTTCCTATCCCAGATACATCTCTTTCACCTCCTATTTCCATTTCTTCTGAAGTTTTATCAAATAGTAGTGGTTCTTCAGGGGAGTCAGAGAATACTATTCCTGTTAATGCAAACAGGCCTAAGAGAAATACTCGTGTGCCATCATACCTTTCGGATTATCACTGCAATTTGGTTCAGAATATACCAACTCCCAGTGGTAATACAGCCCATCCTTTGTCATCTGTTATTGACTACTCGAAGCTGAATCTGCACTATCAGCAGTTTATACTGAACATTTCAACAGAGTCAGAACCAAAGACTTTTCTTGAAGCTGTCAGATCTGAAAAATGGCATGCACCTATGAATGAAGAACTTCAGACTTGTGTTGATACAGGCACTTTCTCTGTTGTCTCTTTACCTGAAGGGAAACAGCCTATAGGTTGCAGATGGGTATATCGCATTAAGCATAATGCTGATGGAACAGTTGACAGATACAGAGCCCGTTTGGTAGCAAAAGGTTTCACACAGCAAGAGGGTGTGGATTATATTGACACATTTTCTCCAGTCGCTAAGCTTGTTACTGTCAAGTTACTACTGGACTTAGCTGCTAAACATGGTTGGTCTCTGACTCAAATGGATGTTACCAACGCTTTTTTACATGGAGATTTAGAAGAAGAGATATATATGGACTTGCCTCCGGGTTATACTCCACCACCAGGTCAAGTACTTCCTCCAAATGCTGTCTGGAAACTTCATAAATCTCTGTATGGCCTCAAGCAGGCTTCTAGGCAATGGAACAAGAAATTCTCTGAAGTACTGTTGAGAGATGGCTTTGTTCAATCAGAGTCTGAACATACCTTGTTTGTCAAATGTGTCAACCATACTTTTATTGCTTTATTAGTATATGTTGATGACATTTTGATTGCAAGTAATAGTGACATGGCTGTATCTGATCTCAAGGCCATTTTAGCTGCTTCTTTCAAAATCAAGGACCTAGGTCCTGCCAAGTACTTTCTTGGTCTTGAGATAGCACGAAATCAGTCAGGGATCTCTGTGTGTCAACGTAAATACGCTCTTGACTTGTTGGATAGTGTTGGTCTTCTTGGCAGTAAACCAGTTGCTACACCAATGGATTCAACGATTCAGTTAACTACAGAGAGTGGGGATCTATTACCTGATGCTACTGTTTATCGAGCTCTCATTGGTAAACTTCTATATCTTACTATAACCAGGGCTGATATTAGTTTTGCAGTTCACAAATTGAGCCAGTTTTTGGCTCAACCAAGGACTGATCATCTTGCTGCAGCTCACCGTATAGTCAGATATTTAAAGGGTGATCCAGGCAGAGGTCTTTTCTATTCTGTTCAGTCTGAGATCAGGCTGCAGGCTTTCTCAGATTCTGATTGGGGCACATGTCAAGATACCAGAAGATCTACTACAGGTTACTGTGTTTTTCTTGGCAATTCTCTGATCTCCTGGAAAGCCAAGAAACAACAAACTGCTTCCAGAAGTAGTGCTGAAGCTGAATACAGGGCCTTAGCAGACACAACTTGTGAACTTCTTTGGTTAAGCCAACTTCTCAGAGATCTTCACATCAAGGTTACTGGTCCTGCAAACCTTTACTGTGACAGCACTGCAGCGATACATATTGCTTCAAACTCAGTCTTTCATGAACGCACCAAACACATAGAAATAGATTGCCACATTGTTCGTGATCGGTTGCGAGCTGGATTTCTGAACTTGCTCCATGTGACTACAGATAATCAGCTTGCCGATTTGTTCACAAAAGCTTTGCCTCCAAAGACATTCAAGATGCTCATGTCTCGTTATGCTTTCTCAAGTCTCTTTCTTCCGGCTTGAAGACTTCGACTTGAGGGAGGGTATTAAGCATATAATTGTATATAGTTATTTAGTATATACAGCTGTAATTATGTATAGTATAAATACTCTTTGTACAGTACATTTTCAGATTAATGAGAAATTATCCTCTTCTTTATCTCTTAATCTAATAGGAAACTGTCCAAAAGCTTGTAACGGCTTAAACACGAGACGGAAAATGGCGGAGAAAGGAGTAGCAGCGGCGACGGATCGAGGTTTATCGGAGAGGAGAGAGGAAGAATCGTCGTGTAAAATAACGCAATCGACACGAACGACGACATTCTCGACTTGAGGGATTAAGGAATGGAATCTTTTGGAGACGACGGAGCAACGACCTAAGGCTTTGACGTCGCCGATGTTGTTGACGATGAGGAGGAGGATTGAGTCAGGGAGGTGATCGAAGTGGTCGATTTGTTGTGGTTGGGGATGGATTCGAGAGAGGAGTGGATCTTATGAACGGAGAATTATCGCCATTGATGAGAGAATTCAGATCTTTGAGAAGAGAAGAAGATAACGCTTAGAGAGAGAGAAACGAATCTAAAGGAGGAAGAGTATACGGTGCATAATCGCAAAGGAGGTCCTAAATGGCATGATTGTAAATAAAATAGTTTGTCGAGGGTTTGGAAGTCACCCAAACAGTAGTGCATAGTAAAACATGTGGATTTTTCCAATTGTAAATAGTCTCTGTACTACTTTCCCTATTATGTTTCACATAAACGTACTAATTTGCAACATATCTCTATCAAATATATGATTTGGCTGAAGCCAATATTCTGGGTTTTTTTTTTGGTGACCTTTAGCTGCCTGCTGTGACAACAAAGAAGATTTTGTATATTCCTCCTATGTTGTTATGAAATAAATTATGAATGGACACACCAGTATGCTTAAGACAAGAGCTATTTATTATTTTTAGTCTTTTTGGTGTGAGCCGAAAAAGAAGAACTTGTTAAAAGATATGAATTCTCTAAAATCTTTGAGGTACAGTAGCATTAGAGAAGCTTTAACTCATCAAAACCCAATAAAGTTTTCATTTTTACGTCTCCTTCACTTCTACAAGCAGAGAAGATGGTTAAAGCCTGCAAACTAGGTGAGAGAACCGAACAAGAGATCATCGATGGTCCTTTTTGTGTCTTTGCAGCTTATGTCTCGATGGAAGAATCTCGTTGGTTTGAATGTTAATGTTAGACCGTTGTTCGGTTAGTATCCTCATGCTTTTGAGATCTTTGCACATCCTTGTAGGAGGAATCTGTGTTGTTAGATTACTGAGAAGTTTAAGGTATTGACTGATGAGGAAGAGAATGTTGTTGGAGAGCGTGAGATTGATGCAGTTAATGAGAAGGATAAAGATGTTGTTTTTGATGTCGAGAAAAGTTGTTCTTTGTGTTCATGCTTTGAGGTTGATTAATATGGAATCGGGTTTTCCTGAGGATTTTCGAGATTCAATTTTGGCTAAGGATTTGAGGTTACTTGATTTGGAGACTTTAGAGTTAATTGTTGGAGATGAATGATGATGAGAGTTTGTGTGTAGCAAAAGTTGAGGAGTGGAGAGAAGTGTTTTGAGTGAGTTTGAGACAAATTACGCCTTTACGATTCATCTCCCTACAGGATTAAGGAACTGGCAAAGGATTCCTTATGTGAAGCCTCACGAGAGAAAGGAGATTTCTCGAGGGTTAGAGAGATTCCACAAGAGAGTGAGTGGTTGCAGTTATTCATGATGAGCTTCTGAGCTTAACCGCGGTATAGAGAAAATGGTTGAAGTCGAGAGATTAGCTCATTTTCGAAAGGATCTTGGAATTGAAGTAAGCGTGAGGGAAGAAATATTAGAGGTGCAATGATTCATTCATTGGCAGTTTTAAAACTTGAACAGGAGATAATTACTCTACAAGCGCAACACAAGGAGAGTATCCTCCAGATATCCAGTGCAAAGACAAATTTCTCATGCAAATGGTGATGGACAAAGCTCGGAAACCATCTCTGTGAGTACTTTCCCTATTATGTCTAGAACACAAGGAGAGTATCCTCCAGATATCATGTACTACTTTCCCTATTATGTCTAGAGCTCAAAGATCTTCTGAATCCGGAGCAACAAATGGTGATGGACAAAGCTCGGAAACCATCTCTGTGAGTACCAAACAAACCCACCTATATAATTTAATCTGCATGTGGTAGTGACTACCTGAAAATTCTCTTAACATCACTACTCAGATTTCTAGGTCAATAATTTGTGCAAAAACCTGTTATGGTTATAGCAAACCCTTTAAGTATGGTGATATACCAATATACCATGGACCTCTTGCATAGACAGACACCTTATTTATAGTCCCTTTCCTGTAAATAAGGGGACTTAATTTCATCTCGGATACCCGATCCAGACGGAGTAGTAGTTTACTCTCTTGGTGCAAAGCACGGAGGTTGTGGAATAAGTGTGATAATTTGCCCGGCCCTATAAATAACAACTGTCATTGACTACACAAGTCGCCATTTTTTCTCTTCCATAAAAGATCTCTGCGAATCTGTGATGTTAAACCACTCACGATCCTCTCTTATGACTTCCTCATCTTCTTCTTCTTTGTCTCACACCTGGAAATACCACGTTTTTGCCAACTTCTTTGGCCCAGACGTCCGTAAAACCTTTCTCAGTCATTTACGCAAACAATTTAAGTGGATTACGATGTTCAATGATTATATATGTAAGTTCTGTTTTTCTATTTCTTTTTAATGTATCCACTAGATTTTAACCCGCGGTACACCGCGGGGCTATATTTTCTTAAAAAAATCAAAATGTAATTTGTTTGATAGATTATTTTGATTGTTAATTTTAGGATTTCACCCGTGGTATACGATCTTTTATAAATATCAACCCAAACCCGTCCCATCATATTACCCGTCCCGTGAAATTAAACATTATTTAGTTATTTTTCTTTTTAATAATACTTTTATTTAAAAGCTATATAATTCAAGTCAATTTAAAAATTTCTTTTAAATGGTTCCCATAAGATATATATACATCTATACTAGGGGAGGTCCCCGCGCCCAGCGCGGGGTTGTATGTTGATTAAGACCAGAATTAATAATTAATATTTAGGGTTATCAAGTTAGGGATATTTATTGAATTAATTTTGTCAAGAGTCTAATTTTTATAACGACATTAATATAGAATTATGGTAAAACGCTATAACTTTTGATATATATTATTAGTAATCAACAATTAATAGTGTTTTTGAATCACAAACAATTATTAGTGTTTATATCTTGATATATATAATAGAATTAAATATAAAAAATCTATATATTTAAACCAACAATATATTAGCAACGCCCCGACCGCCACTGTCCATGGGTTCCCACGTCCAGTCTCGGTCTTTAGGCCCATCTTCTTTGCCTTGTCGTACTCTTGATTTTATGACATATTCATGCTTACTCGTTTCTTTCATATTAGCAACGCCCCGACCGCCACTGTCTGTGGGCTCCCCACGTCCAGTTTCGGTCTTTAGGCCCATCTTCTTTGTTTTGTCGTACTCTTGATTTTATGACATATTCATGCTTACTCGTTTCTTTCATATTTGTAATGCCACGACCGCCATTGCCTGTGGGTTCCCACGTCCAGTTTCGTTCTTTGAGCACATCTTCTTGGTTTTGTAGTACTCTTGGTTTTATGACATATTCACGCTTCCTCGTTTCTTTCATATTTGTAACGCTCCGACCGCCACTGTCCGTGGGTTCCCCACGTCCAGTTTCGGACTTTAATTTGGGCCCATCTTCCTGGTTTTTGTTGTATTCTTGATTTTATGACATATTCATGCTTTTAGATTGTATGTCACTGGAGTTTTTCGTAGTTGGAAACAAATAATTGAAAAATATAATCTCTTACCATATCTCTTACCTATCAAGTAAGTCATCTTGCTCTTTGAAGTAGTTATGTACGTAAAATTTCAATGGTATAGAAACAGGCATCTCCTTTGTATATATCGTGTCATATTTATCGTCCCTATTGTAGTATCTTTGTCTCTACCTTCGCCATTGGTCACTGCGTAACCCTTCAGTTGATCTCTTGTTTATAAAACCCATATAAAAAGTTGTAAGAGAAATATCATTTTCTTAACTGTATCGTATATGTATTTGTAGTATATTGATCTGAGATTGCAAAGATGTATGCCTATCAAGAAGCTCTTAGCAAAGTAAACACTGAAGATAGGTACTAAAAATGAGAGGGTTACAGAGAGCAAGTATCTATCCATTAGAAACCACTATGTGCAACTGAGAATAATTCATATATGTACATACATACACATGTATACAACGTATTGAAGCTTTTAAATTTAAATATCGAATGCTACAAAACTGGAAAATTGCTTGTGAAGAAAGCAATATGAACATGGCCACATATATAACAAATAACCGATTATGCTTGTCGTAGATCATTCTCTTTCAAACCAAAAGTTTTACCTAAACAACATATCAAGTGACTCACAAGAGATACATAAGAGCCATATCCTAAAAATATCCGGCAAAGCAAAAACGCTCCAGGTTCGAGAAGGAAGTCATTGGAAAATTTGAGTATATACCAAACTGGAGAGTAATTCGGCTACAAAGAGAGATGTGTTGGCTTTGAAGAAAAAGCTATGTGATGCTCTACCTTTTTTTTTTTTTTGTCAGAAGGAGATTCCATTAAGTAAACTCAAGGAACAGGGTTTGGTACAATCGCTTGAAGAGCGTTTTTAGCTAAAGCATCAGCTTTGCTATTAGAACATCTAGGAATGAAAGAAAACATAAGAAGTTTAAAGGAGGAGCGAAGAGCTCGGATGTCATCGATAATTGATTGAATTTCGGTATGGAGAGCCGAAGAGTTCAACAGTTTGACCAAGGTTTGGCAGTCGGAGAGCGCATGGATCTCCTGTATGCCATCAGATTTTGCTTGAGTAAGAGCCTCCCAGATTGCCCAAGCTTCTGCTTCCAATGCAGAGTTGACATGAGTGCGTGTTGTCGAACCGCAAGTCTCATTGATAGTCGTAACATCCGTATTTGAACGGAAAGACCAACCCAAACCAGCCCTTAGAGTTACAGCATCCCACGCCGCATCCGAACTGACTAAAGTGGCCATGGGCAGTGATTGGAATCTAGACGACAGAGTGGGTGACAGAGAAGGGTCCAGAACCGGGGTCGAGGACGATTGGTTTACAGGGGGCTGGGCGGGTTCTCTGGAGTAGCGCAAAGACTGAGCCTCCTGCCAGTTTTTTGCCTCCAATTGTGCTTTCAAGACAATTTCAGCCTCAGAGAATGAGGAAGGCGTGAAGGTTAAGGCATTTCGTGCTTTCCACAAAAACCAACAAATCCAGTGGAAAAGAGAAGCCGAAAAAATACCCGTTGGAGGCAGAGCACATGTAGCTTTTGCTTTTGAGAGCCATTCCAACATGGGACCAGGAATTGATGCAGGGCTAATCTTCAGTGGTGTGAGAGACCAGACCCGCCTGGCAAAGGGACAGTCTCGTAGAACATGGGAGATAGTTTCAGGCTGGTTGCACCTTTTGCAGCTTGGATCAACTGGTAAACCTCTATAAGCCAGATTAGAGTTAACAGGCAGGGCATTCATTGCAATTTTCCATGCGAAGCTGCGTAGTTTCGGGGAAGTATGAGCTTTCCAAATAGTGGACTGCCATTTGAACTGCAGGTGAGTTAGCGGTATGGTTTTAGCCATGGTAACACCATATCCTTGCCTGGAAGTATATTGACCATTCTTTGCTGGGAGCCAGACCAGTCTATCTTTTTGTGATGAAGAGCTGGTATGGATCCTGCGAATACTCTCCTCATACAGAGGGATCGTCTCTCTGACTGCCATCCAATTCCAGGACTTGGTTATGGGATCCAACAAGTCTGACACTCTTAGCCAAGACATGTTAGCGTTGGGA